AATGAAACATTAAGCTTAGCGAGGCAACCCCTTGATATTTGCAATTGATCATGGTGTACCCACAAAGTACAACGTATTTTGACCAGACAATGCCGACCTCCAACTGCACGAGGATATATTACTATAAAGAACCAAAAGCGTACAACTGCCTTGGCTAAGGGTTCGAACTGAAGTCACCGCTTTGAGTCTGCCGCTTCGGGAATCGGTGCCTTATTGTTCAGGTCCAGCCTCAAAGGCACATCAACAATACGTAAGGTGTATACTTTAAACCTTGAAATAGTTCATATGAGAATGAGAGTTGTGCTCACCATATGCAGGCATGTTGTAGGGTTCCCTTAACTCTCACGATGATAGACTTTACAATAGTGAGACTGTGGTCATATCTAGGGTGTAATATATCTACTTGGCAGACTACAAAAATGGCTAGATGGATAGATCATGTACTTAGTTGACTTCTATTGCACATTTTTTAGTTCCTTCATAGAAAGACTATAGAGATGAATTCATCCATGTCATCAGAATCGTGTCCATTACATCCGGTTGCGTTGGCGAGGAGCCGCACGGATGATGTTGTCCACCCGCAGGAGAAGCTAAATAAAGTCAGCGCGTATTCCCCATAGAAATAAAAAAACAGGTGAGTTACATACCTCGGCTGCCTCTGAGGCAGACGAAACCACCGCCTTCTTCAACTTATAAGCCTCCACCACACCAAGCTCACGCATATCTGCAATACCACCACCGGGCGTCAACAGGTCAAGACCGGAGCTGGTCATACCGTTGTTGATGGCCGAGCGCAGACGAGTCACCAGATCGCTGGAATCCAGACCAGCGTTGTCGGCTAGAATGGTAGGCAGCTGCTTCAAAGCGTGAGAGAACGAGTCGACAGCAAGCTGTTTCTTGCCGGTCGTATTCTGAGCCGCCTGTTCCACGGCCTTGGACATCACCATCTCGGCGCAGCCGCCGCCAAGTGTCACACGGGGATCCTTGACGGTCTGCGAGAGAACGGCCAGAGCATCGTGGAGCGAACGCTCGGCCTCGTCGAGAAGCTGCTCGGTAGCACCGCGCAGCACAATGGTGCAGGCCTGACCAGCAGCCACACCGGAGAACTTGATCAGGGTGTCCTCACCAATGATCACTTCCTCGATCAGATCACACGCACCCAGCTTGACCTGATCGGGGTGGTCGAAGGTGGAAGCGATCTCACCGCCAGTAACAAGGGCCAGGCGCTCGATGCCGTCGAAATCGGCGTGCTCGATGGACATGATACCCGCCTCGGTGAACAGCTGCTCGGGCCAGTTGTAAATGAGCTGACGGTTAACGAAGCAGTTAATACCGTGTGCCTTGATACGCTCAACCTTTTGGCGCATCTTCTCGCGTTCTGCCTTCTCCAACTCGGCAAGCTTGCCGGTCGACTCGACCTTGACTCGTGCGCCGAAAATCTTGACCTTATCTGTGTCCATGGCTGTATTGGCGACCAAGATCTTGGCGTTCTCCAACCGCTTGGGCTGATTCACACCGACCTTCTTGTCCATAATGAAACCCTCATCGAGGTATGAATCGCTCAGCTTTCCACCGGCCTTCTTGATAATCTGGATGTGAGAGAGGTCGGTGGATCCCTTGAGACGCAGAACGGCCTCGCAAGCCAACTTGGCGAATTGGTCCCGGTCTTGCGACAGAACCTTGGAGCTGAGCGTTGTGCGGGCAATGGCGTGCAAGTCCTTACGGAAAGCCTCGGGGTCATTGCTGCGGTCGACCGCTGTAGCCTCGAGCGCGGCGAGAGCAGCCTTGCTAGCTATCCGGTAACCCTCGATAATAGTCTGGGGGTGAATCTTCTTGGCAACAAGTTGTTCGGCCTCACGCAACAACTCGGCGGCCAGAACGGTAACTGATGTGGTTCCATCACCCACCTCATCGTCCTGCACCTTAGAGATATTGACCAGAACCTTGGCCGCAGCGTTATCCAAAGCGATGGACTTAAGAATCGTAGCACCGTCGTTCGTCACCAGGATTTCTCCTGTCGACCTTTGAGAACAGCCATGTCAGTATTTCCGGGGTTATATCAAATGATTATCGATAACTCCGCCACATACGCAGATTGTAGGATTTTGTCCATTCCCTTGGGACCAAGTGTACTCTTCACAAGGTCTCCGACGGCGATAGCACCGACAAAAGCTGAGAGACGGGCATTTTCGCCCTTCTCTTCGATGACATCGTCACCAAAGATCTGTGTGGGATTGCCGAAAGATGCCTAGGAGGGGTAGAGGTGAGCCAGTGCGAACACATATTTTCCACGCTCTCGCGAGTTGGGAATAGCGTACCATAATGACCAGCTGAATAAGGCAATCGACCAAAGATCAAATGTCTTGCTGGAGAGGTTGAATCGACTTCTCCTGTCAACAAGTGGGGTGGGAAAGGAGAAAAGTTGCCGCACGATTGGCCCGAGCTTCTGATTGGCTGCACTCCATCACCGCCTGCGATACCTCTAGACGATTCCTTTCTTGTCGTGACGATCCCTTTCGCTGGGATTGACCTTGTTTCTGTCAGTGTCGACAATGGCTGACTCTGGCAAACTCGCTCCGGCTGCTGCGAACAAGCGGCCTCATTCTGCTGTCGAGGCTGAGAACAGTGAGTCCCCTGCCTCATGGACACCGTTCAGACCGCTCCCCCGAATGGAACGCAAGAGATACTAACTGTATGCGATTGTTAGGTGGTGACTCTTCCGACGATGATTTCGGCCCTGCGCTGCCCTCGGAGGTCGCCCCAAAGAAGAAGCGGCGCAAGCTTCCTTTTGAGAAAGTCTACATCAATGCTCTACCAGTCTCCGCACGGTACTCCAAGTCCCTTATGCACAAGGACCAATTGTCGTTTGTGACGGTTGCCCCCTATACGGACTTTGTGATCACTTCCTCCGTCGATGGATATGTCAAGTTCTGGAAGAAGGTGGCGGAAGGCATCGAGTTCGTGAAGGAATTCCTTGCTCACCCAGGCGAGATTCGGGGCGTAACTGTCAGCGCCGACGGCCGCAGTTTCGCAACAGCGGGAATAGACAAGACAGTGAAGATTTTCGATGTTGTTACATTTGGTAGGTTCAAGATTTGTTGCTCTCCCGGTCTAATGACTTACTAACATGGACAGATCTCTTGGCGATGTATACACTAGACTTTGTACCTCGGTGTGTTTGCTGGGTACACCCGCGTGGGGCCTCGCTGCCCCTGCTAGCCGTGACAGACGAGTCAAGTAATACGATTCAAGTATTCGATGGACGTGGCGAAAATCCCGAACCTTTGCACACTTTGAAGTCGATCCACCGCAGCCCCGTGGTTTCGCTGGCATTCAACGACGCCTTCGACTGTGTCGTCTCAGCCGATGAAACAGGAATGATCGAATATTGGAGAGCCGGAGACGGATCTTTCGAGAAACCCGACAATGTCTTCGACTTCAAATCCTCAACAAATCTCTTCGCATTTAAGAAAGCCAAATCCGTTCCGACAGCCATCACAGTCTCCCCGTCCGGCAAACACTTCGCCACGATCTCCTTCCCAGACCGACAGATTCGAGTATTCGACTTCGCAACAGGGAAGCTTTACCGCACATACGACGAATCAATAACCACCATCACGGAGATGCAGCAAGCCGGCACAGCACCGTACGAACTTGACGAAGTAGAGTTCGGGCGCCGCCTAGGTGTTGAGCGCGAGCTAGAAAACGAAGGAACGCGCAACAAAGTAAACGTTTCTTTCGACGAATCCGGCCACTTCCTCCTCTACGGCTCTCTTTACGGCGTGAAATGTATCAACACCTACACAAACCGGGTAGTCCGCGTCTACGGCCGCGAGGAGCCATTCCGAGCCCTGAACCTCGCATTGTATCAAGGACAACCGCAACGGAAAGGCATCGTGACCGTCTCAATGGCAGCCAGTAGCAACCCGCTCCTCCAGCAAGCCGAAGAACGTGACCCAATCCTCCTCTGCACCGGCTTCGCCAAGGTGCGCTTCTACATGTTCACGAACCAAACAGACATCTCGAAATCCACTCGGGACGTCCAAAACGAAAAGCCAACCCAATCAGCGGCCGGCACTGGTCCAACCGCCACCAAAGCGGCCGAGACCGGCACTGCTGCAATCCTGCACACAACTTTCGGCGACATCCACCTGCGCCTATATCCCTCAGCTGCGCCACGGGCCGTGGAGAACTTTGTCACACACGCCCGGAATGGCTATTACAATAACACGATCTTTCACCGTGTGATCCGCAAATTCATGATCCAAGGTGGTGACCCACAAGGCGACGGGACGGGTGGAGAGTCTATCTGGGGCGGGGAATTTGCCGACGAGTTCTCCGTTCTCAAGCACGATAAGCCGTATACGCTCTCGATGGCCAATGCCGGACCCAATACAAATGCTAGTCAGTTCTTCATTACCACGGAGAAGACGCCGTGGCTGGATAATAAGCACACTGTCTTTGGACGTGCGGTGCAGGGCTTGGATATCGTGCATAAGATCGAAAATGTGCGGACGCATAAGGAGAAGCCAGAGGTTGATATTAAGATAGTTAGTATTAGTATCTCGTGATATATCGGCCCGGGTGGAATCTAGGCGTTGTATTACAAAATATGTGTATAAGGAATCATGAAATGCCCGCGTGCGTTGTACTATGTACACTGTCACTTGGTCAGACAAGTTGAAAAAAATGGCGAATATGACCGTAGAAAGAGAATCGACACAGTCGTCGGCAGAAGTCGACTCCGCCTATTTTTAGGACAAAAGCCCAAGAAAAGAAAGGAAGGAAAAGAAAGAGAGAGAAAAGGGGCGCAAAACCAACAACAACAAAAACACAGCATGAAGCCCATTACCCGCACCAAACACCAAGAAATGCAACCATGGCCAGGTAGCATGGTATAGAAGTAGCGCATTGCGAAAACAAAAAAAAAATTTAAGAAGAACAAGAAAAGGACATAAGAAACCCAAAGATCCAAAATAAGAAGTGAACCAAAACAGATTTTAAACCTGCCGAATCTCCAAATCCCCAGAGCTCTGCTCGACCTTTGTCAATCGCGTGCGGGCCCCAGGCACCGGGGTGCTAGTCTTCGCCATCGTAGAGCGCGAGCTACTAGCCAAGGAGTCGGCGCCAAGGGCGTTGGTCTGCACCGGCACCGGCACAGCCCAGGCGGCATCGCGCGGACCGGGCGGGGAAGCAGCAGTCAAAAAGCTGCTGCCGCCGCCGTGGTAGAGATTAGGCCGTTTAGCATCGTAGCGGCGCTTGAACCATACGCCGAGTACGGCGATGGTGCTAAACCCGATGACCAGCACGATGAGCATGATGATCCAGCGGTAGTGGGTACTCCACCTATTTAGGGGGATTTTATTTAGTGATTGGTCTGGATGGTGCAGTTACGATTCTAATTTGCGCTGCGGTGTTGGGGATCAAACATACCATGACTTCTTCGTATCCGCTGTGGAGGTTGTGTTTGTGGTTGCGCTGGAGGTGGAAGTCGAAGTAGAGGTTGCGTCGGTTGAGGACTTGGTTGTTGTGGTGGCAGTGCCGGTATCCTTGCCGCCGGAGTTGCAGTAGTCGACGTACCAGGTTGAGAGAGTGGTTTGGTCTGCGGCGCTGCAAGAGGGGCAGATGCTGCCGGAGGTTTTGAGGCCGGTGAGTAGGGATGACTGGCAGAAGCATGAGGTCCAGGTGGAGGCTTCGCCTGATTCACAGGAGGTCTGCGCACTTGTCAGGGTGGTGCAAGTCAGGCCGCATTGCGGGAATTTGCTGGAGGCTGCTGCGGGGAGGATGGTGTCGGCGGCTAAGGCTGAGATTGTGAGGGCGATAAGGGCGAGGAAGAGGAATGAGAGGCGCGTAGTGAGTGACATGGTGAGAGTGATGTTTTCGAGTTCTCTATTTAATGAGGGGTGAGTAGCGAATGTGGAAGTGAGAGCCGTCCCTGAGGCTCGATTAGATGTCTGGATAGGATGTCTTAGTCCATCGTTGCATAGGTGAAAGAGAGAAGAGTCGACCGAAAGACCAGGAAAACGAGACGAAGATGGTTTTGGGTCTAGTCGGGGCCCGAACGATTCCGGATTCGGCTTTTTGGTCTTTTTCTTTGATTTTTTATGGCTCTCGAGGGGAAATTCGCGGATTTGATTGGTCGAATCGATTTGGTTAATTTCTTTTGCTTCTTTAATCTCTTTTAATTACCTTATAAAGTAGTATCGTAGTACTGTAGTACTGTACCTGTACATGGCATCGCAAGCGTTTTTTAATTTCCGCAAACGGACCGTGGAAATCTCACATTCTACCTTGTAGCATTCTGACGTCTGCCAGGTCCGATATTAGGTTAGTACTTGGCTGGTTCTCAAGGTCAGTTTCTATGGAATGAGATAGTTGGGACTACTTCCTATGCAAGGAGTTATGTATCTACTGCTGTACGGAGTACTAGTTATGGAGTAGTTAGATATACAGGATCGAGTTATTCAGTTGCCTATTCTCTTCATACAATTTACTAACCTGTAACTCATCCGTCTTTCATTAACTCCAAACAAGGGCCCACACGATCGGCAGTCGATACTTGGAATAAGGCGATGAATCTACGGTTAATCGTACAGGCACTTAGCTAGATACGGAGCAGAGAGGTTACGTGTGTATTATGCATAACCCCCCCCTCTTTACTAGGTAAACTCAGTAAATTTGTTTCCAAGGTTGCCGTCGCTTATTATGCCCTTGATCGATGGGTGATTGGTTCGATGTTTTGACCGGTGAAAAGGCGTCATATTATATCCAAACATGGAATCTCATATAGAACCACACGCGGCAGAAAATACACTACATATGTATCAGGGTTCAATTAACAACATATAAGAGGTCTTAGCCACCTCTAGCGGACTTATTGATGTGTGGTTATATTTTAAGCCCTAAGACATTTCCCCCGGGTACCCGGGTTATTTGTGATGTATGGACAATTTAGGCGATCTACGTAAAGAGGCCAAATAAGAAAAACAAGCAATAGCAATCTCAGGGCTAGTCCGTGAGGAAATCTCGGAGATGATTGGATAACAGCTCCACCTATTATTACTCCCCCCCGCATTCCCTCCCTTCTCCAACAACCCTCTCATCATACCGACAATGCCGACAATCCCAACAATGCCCTCCCGGCAACTCCTTTCGACCCTAATAACCTCCCTCACCAACACCCGCTGGACCTTAACCCGAACCCTCCGGAGCGAAAACCCCCTCGATCTAAACGGCGAGCTCCGCGGGACCGCAACCTTCACCCCCCAACCCCCCACCACCACAGCCGACCGCGACTGGCTGTATTGCGAAGAAGGCGAGATCCCTAGCAATGTCGGAGGCGCCTTACCGGCGGGACTACGCTGGACAAAGAAGTACATATGGCGCCTAGGCAGCGATGGCGGACACGTCAGCGTCTGGTTCGTGAAAGTCGCGTCGGGCCCGGAAGAAGCAGACTACTTATTCCACGACTTCGACTTTGATTCGGGTTCGAGTTCGCCGCTAGAGTCGGAGTCTGGGTCTGCGCAGAAGGATCCCGGCGAATTCGTCGCGCCGCCCGTGCCGCCCGCTGTGTCAACCCCCGGCAGTGAGATTAAGACTACTGTGCTTAATGCTAGGGGCAACCATCTCTGTATCAACGATATGTATCGCACGGCATATGCGTTTCGCATTGAGCCTGATACCGGGGAGGTGCTTAGCTGGGCTAGTCGGCATGTTGTGCGCGGCCCGAAGAAGGGGCAGGATATTGTTAATCGGTACGAGAAGGAGGCATGAGATAAAATTCAAAGTAACCTACAATTGTGATGCTTCTTCCACGAGGCTACGCGGGTGCTCCGGTTGCTAGAAGCCATTGATAAAGCTGGAATCCTCCCGAGGTCTACTAAAATCATGATCGTGATGATATATATTCATGGATATTCATATATTACCGCTTATATCTCGGTCTAGCTCCGCTCTTCATTCCACGCCCATTCCACCCCTGCTCACAGCGTGTAAAGGAAATCCGGTCTTTTGTCACCCAGCAACTCGATCTGGCCCTGGTCCAAGCCCTCGATCCAGTGGTCGCGTTCGCCACGTCTGCGCTTGCCGTTCTCACGTCGCAGCAGGAGGTACTGCACCACGGATCCGCCAAAGAGGAACAGGACCAGGTAGGCGAGTACTACTCCGTGACCGGGGTAGTATTTTGGCTTATCATTATCGCGGTAGATGTTCGATGATACGATGCCGTTGAGATTTCCCCAGCCGATGATAAACCCTAGGGAGACACCTCGTTTGTATACACCTAGACAGCTCGAGTTAGTTCTGGCTGTTGTCATGTATATAAGAAAAAACCGGAATCCAGGTTGAAATTACCTTCGGTGTTGTTACTAGTCCATGAAATCGTGTTCGCAATGGCTGGGTAGATGCCCATGGCCCCCAGGAAGGTTCCTGCGTATCGGGCGCCGGCAGACTCACAGCCTAGTAGCATAGCGAATCCTATCATACCGAGGAACGAGACGGCGATATTGCAGAGACCACGCTGTCTTGTACGGTCTGCAATGAAGCCTACTGTCACTGTCAAGACGGCGGCAGCGGCATATGGCGGTACACTCAGCAACTGTGCACGAATCGCGCTGTAGCCTATAGAAGCATCCAGTCAGTAAATAGCCCCGAAATACCGAGCGCAACATCCAAGGTCAATATTCACCCTAAGAAACTTCGTTAGCTCCAGAATCTCCAAGGTGGCGATGTGACAACTCACTAGTTCATTGATAATAGTAGGCACGAAAAGAGAGAACGCATAAAGCGACCCATCAGCCCCCATATATATCACAGCCCCAGTATAAGTCTTCCAATCCTTCAGACTGGACCAGAAGTACTCCATCTTGAACTCCTCATGCTCAGCACTCGACTGCTGATCCATAGCGAGTCGTCTGAGCACGCGCTTGCGATCGGCATCCGACAAGAACCGCGCCTGATCGGGGAAGTCATAGACACACCAAAACGAGGCAATGCCAATGAAGAACGTAAGAAGGCCTTCCAGGATGAAAATCCACGACCAGCCCGGCTTGCCGGCCACGCCGTCCATCTTCGCAATTGCTGCTGCTAGCAGACCACCAAATGAACCTGCGAGCGCGGCCGCCGAGAAGAAAATCGCCATTCGCACGCCGAATTCTGAGCGCTTATACCAGCATGAGAGGAAATAGCCCACTCCTGGGAATAGACCGGCTTCCGATAGGCCTAGGAACCAGCGGACTGCCATCAGCCCGTGGTAGTTCTTTACGAAGCCCATGCAGGTCATGCAAATTCCCTGGAATTGGTTAGAAGAGTAATGTGTTGGAAGAAGGGAAGATTTCACTTACCCATGCCATCATAATGAGTGGGATAAATACGCTCGGCCGCAACCGCTTTAACAGGACGTTGGTCGCAGGCTCGAAGACCGAGTACGAGACGAAAAATATAGTCAGTGCTGCGTTGTATTGAGCATTCGTCATGTTCAGGTCTGTTTTTAGACCGACGAGCTTTGCGTTGCCGATATTTGTCCTTGAGCGCGGTGAGATTAGTTCGTGATATTTCCTCGGAAGCCAGTGCGCGAATAAGATATTGTTCTTTTGCTTACCGGTCAAGGAACGAGACGAGATAAAGTAGACTGAGCCATGGCACAAGGCGGATATCGAGTTGCCAGAGTAGTTTACGATCCTACATGGTTCGTGATTTGGTTAGTTGCCGTGACTTTGCATGATGCTGAACAGAAATTGATAACATACAATCGCCGCCCTTTCTTCGTCACTCAATCCTGCGTCGGGATCCTCAAATCCAGCTGCAGCAAGCGCATCTTTAGAATCGGAAATATTCTCAGGGTCCTCGGACCAGGACTCGGTTTGTTTGTCGGAGGGTTCAACGGCCATGATGCAAGATCGAGCAGAGGCCGGGGGATGGTCGAGAATATGCGATTGCTGTACGCCGACCTGCGAGCTATTTAAGAAGAACAGGGAACAGGTCAAAGCAGAAAAAGACAGCCACCAAGCGCTATGTAAAGAGGGGCAAACATGCCAACGCTTATGCTCGGCAGGTGGTCGAGATTTGCCAGGGTCCAGTTGAAAATGGTATGATCCCTACATCCTAGCCCGCGTCCTAACCGCGTACGGGGGTTATTGCATTAGCTTGAATCTGGATGTTGGGGCCCGTTGAGTGATCGGCATGTAGAAAATGAGATCATCCGTGCAGGCGACTTCAAACGGGAAGAAAAGGACGAGTATAATTGTACGCCATTGTACAATATCTGATTTAGCTTGATGTTGAGTCTCAAATCCCCCAGTTTAGTACACTGTTGATACATTGGATAGATAGGCCAAGTCTGGGCATCCGGGGAAAATTAGGGCATCCCCCGCATACCCCGGGCTCCACTAAGCGAAGCTTTGCCCCGGGGCCGTCTCGATCTCATCAATGTTGTACACATGTACGGAGTATTGCCAAGTCTATAACGGCCCGTTTATTTAGACTGACGCGGAGTTTTGCTTAGAAACCTGCCTACGATGTGCACTCGGCCGAGAGAAATAGGTGGTGTCGGCCGACGTGGTCGTATTAAATGTTGATCGCCAAAAGTTCCCTCGACTATCGAGCCATTGACCGTGGAGCCTCTCGTATCCACCACAGATGACCACCTTTTCACCATGTTTTCATTGGATGTAGTGAACTCGGGATAGTGGAAGGATTGTCTCGGCATTGACCTTGCGGCAGGTTCCTCCTCCGTAGCCCCGAAGAATTTGTGCCAATGAGCATGCAGCCAGATAATAATATAGAAAGCGAATTCTAAGAGGTCTGATTTTTCACTGACAGCCATGCTAAGCCCCGCATTCAATGTGCGCACGGCTTCACTGACGTTGCGGGGGGTGATCGTCGCACACAAAGTTGCGTCCGCAGCGCAGTAGTACAACATCGGCCCAATTTGATATACCATGAGTTGCAATAGGCGGCTCATGGAACAAGCGCTAACTTAAAAAGACATTGTTGGAGCGAATTTGGGTGGTCGAACCTGCGCTGTCGAGCTTTTGGCAACATATTTGTCGTATGGAGCTATTTTAGAACGCTCGTTATGACTTGTCTCTGGGGTTTAACTTGGATTTTGGTAGTATCATTTGAATTTGAGTTATTGTGAGGTCTAAGTGTAGACTCCCAGGAAAATTTACATAAGGTCGAGTCGGGCTCGCAAGAAAATTACCTTGCCGGTAAGACCAATGGAGACCCCGAACTCATGGATGTATGTACTTGTAAAAAACGCGATAACCGAGACGCTCATGATCAATGCAATGCGCCCATTTTGCCTTGATGTAGCCACTCCAGGGTTAAACCCGCCTTCTATGAGGCGGATATAAGAGGCAATCGATTCGGAGCAAGTGATAGTATTGTTGCAATACATCCCCGATCTATGCGTTTACAAACCGTCATCTAGCTTAATATCGCCTGGACGGGATTCTGGCTTCATGGGGTTACCAAATCCATTGACGCGTCCATGGAGCCACTTGAGAGTAATGGTGCTCAGTGCCATGACAGCGGCGCTGAGAGTAAATAGGCCAACACGACCTGATGTGGGCAGTGCTTCGAAGATGGGATATGGGTACCTAGAATGATTAGTGATTGACGTCGGAAGCGCTAGGTCATACACGAACCATCCGTTCTGGGAGAAGCATTGCTCAATCCAGAACCAGTAGCCGAAGGCGATAGTGCCAGACAATGCGAGTGCAGGGAGTGCAGTGATTGTCCAGGGTGGGGATAGGAGCAGCAGGTCAATCAACATCACCACCGAGGGTGTTGCGTGGAAGCTGATGTCTAGAACCGTGTTATTAGGGGTATCTCAAAATGCACTTTTTACAGACGTACCGGCATGGACGGGTATAACAATATCTTCGGGAATCACCAAACGCTCATCAATCTTACTTGAGTTAGAACAATGTCGAATTAGCATCGGATTACTTACCAAACGAAGACCCCAGTACAAAACGCTGATCACAACCTCAAGGGGGGCACTACATGTCGATAGGATGTTTTTGACCAGGAACAGTCTCCGGGACAAGGTAATATCCGCTAGTAGTGCAACCGCAAAAGTGAGTGTTGACAACGATAGACCAATCACGGTCAGATATTGAAAATGCCAACCATATGCTTGATTACTGTCAAATATAAAGTTTAGCGTGTTTTCCAATATCGAAGCTAGACGGGAACTTACGCTGGATTAGGGTTTTCGTGCATGCTTCAAAAATGTCAGCGAGACCTTTAAAGGACAGCGTGATAGAGGACCCATACTATTTGAATGACCACAAAAAACTCGAAAGTCCGGCCAACTAGAAGGCAAGCCCTTAGCACTGGACCGTAATGATAAGTGAAAGGACCACGGTACTTACATGAACCAATGCCGACAAGCCCCGTGAAGGATGAAGGACTCGACATCCGCTGAAGCGGGTGCCTATCGATCAAAGATTTGGCCATTTTGGAAAAGAAATTAGGGACACAAGCGCTCTAAGGTCCTAGTCCTCGTTTAATGCCCCCCGAAAGTGCTATCAGCGCGCAGCTCAGGGAACCAATGTGCATCCAAGGAACCGGATGCTATGACGTTGGTTCAAGATACGAGTTCACGTGACACGCGGGATCAATCGGCGTCTGTATCGGATTATAACATAACCCGGCTGATTCATCGTTCCTTATCTCCCAGGGCTCGGCTGGCCATGTGCTTCCCCACACTTTTAGTCCGCGCTCCAAAGATAACCTTTGCCTTTCTTCTTTACATCAAATTGTGACTTTTATTGCGAATCTGTGCTCTTGGCCTGCCCAGTGAGGTCAGTCGACTACCTAGTGGGTCAATCGATCATATTGAACAGATCTCTCTTCTGTTTGATATCTTGTTTCATCCCCCAAGGTCGCCAAGACCGGCACTCCACTGGTTACTACCGGCTTCTCTTGCCTTCCCATTGCTGAAGGGCAGTGGGACTGGAACTTTTTCTGGCACATCTCTCCCATACCTCGATGTGCTTGTATACTAGGTGTGGGTGTCTGGTCGATTATCGCTTCGTCGCTACTTGGGGTCAACGAGGATCGAAACGCAGAAAGCGTGCCAATTCTGACGTGCTTTCGGCGTAAGGAGTCTCGATTGGACTGATACAGACTTGAAAAGACTGAATCTGTATGGCCGCGGGACAGTATATAGTGACCTTTGGCTATTTCGAGCCGTTATCTTGAATTATCGCCGTGTCTTTACAGGCATCGGTACTCGACCAGACACCCTTTGACGTGCAATGCCTCGTCCTAGAAGACCTGGTGCACCAGAACCGAAGCGCCGAAGCCGTAAAGGATGTTGGTACGTTACTAAGATGTCAATAAGCTTTACCAAGGCTAACAGTCTCATTAGGCCATGCAAAGCACGCAAGGTAAAATGGTAAGAAGCATAATCCTTGCATGATACTCGTGTAGCTAACAATTATGTAGTGGCGAGGAGAAACCAGCATGTCTTAATTGCCAGCGACAAGGCGACCCTTGCGACTATAGCGTCCGTCTGAACTGGGGAGGAAGGACGAAACGCATGTCAATTGACTCGCCAAATTCACAATCTAGTGGGTATGGAGGAGCTGTAATTGGATTTTCGGACTCATTCGCTATCAACGATCTAAGCCCAGTTTCGTTCCCCACTCCAGCAAGCAACAACCCTGCAGATGGATTTATCAACACTCATCCCGGGGAGTTGACTTCGCCGAGAGCAATATCTCCAAGTACATCATCACAAATGGGACTTTTCGAATCCCCCAGGCTCGGCTCGGACTCTGAAGGAGTGCTATCGCCGGGCCAATTAGAGTCTCGATTCTCCTCAACTTGGGCGGAACAATCTCCTCCATTGACCGCATCGGCTACCTCGGCGCCTTTGTTGCAATATCAATTTGGACAGCATAGTTTTGATAGCCCATCATATCTGGGTTCGATAGATCAGACATCCGGTCTCAGATCACTGTCTGCCTTTGCATTCCATACAAACCCCGTGTCGCAGCCAGTCTCATACATGCGCCACCCTGTAGATGTTTCCAACCACTGCTCGGGTCCATCTATCTCGCACTCTCGTGATGAAGAGCACCTTTCTCAAGGGTCTTATGATGACCAGGGCATGCATCTTGGCGCTCGGTCTAGGACAGGGCAAAACAGATCCTCAAACAGCCCGCAGGATACTACCGGTCTTATGCTTTTCGATCCACGCAGAGTGTCGATTGCTGAAAGTGATGCAATCTCGTCTCCGAGGCTCCACGAGACAACCAGCAACATGGGCTCTGTACATGACTATCACAATGGGTTGACTCCGGATCATCAGGCATTGGCGGAGAGCAATCATGAAGCTGATCAAACATCCCACGAGTCTTCAATCGCCCGGAGCAAATGGCAAACATATCTGAATAGTGTAACCGACAATTATGGATTGGATTCTGGGCGCCCTGATCAGGATCTGACCTTCAACAACGACCATGCCGCCATAGATATCAACTATGCGTTAGACCTGATCAGTTCTCGGTGGCGCAACGAGGAGTCCAAAGCCTCTCAACCTGACCCCGTACCACAGGTCCAGTTTTGTAGTGGCTACTATGCTTCGCCAGTGCCCATCAATGTCCCGAGATACTTATCTCCGCTTCCGTCGTCGCTGCTGGAGAACCCCATCAATCTGATGTACTTCCATCATTTCTTGAATCACACTGCTCGAATGCTTGTCCCACACAACTGCGATAATAATCCGTTTATTTCGGTTTTGCCATCAAGTGAGTTATACCGCTCTATGTTCTGTTATCTTTCAGAAGGCTGACCAAACAGTGGCAATCGGTGATTCCAATCTCCTCAATTTGCTGCTTGCATACTCCGCTAGTCATCGTGCTCGATACCTCGGTCATCCCGAGCCCACTAATCGAATCGCTCATTGGGTTAGCAAGGTTTTCCCAACCTTGCGTATGGCATTGGAGTCATCCAAGGAAGACATCACTGACAGCCACTTGGCCACGGCCATTATGCTGTTGTCATTGAAGATCGTTTCTCCAAGGACATTTGAGGTGCCGATCACCTGGAAGAGTCACCTCAAGCTTGCTCGCGATTTGTTCCTTGCACGAAGCGAGGGCATGGCGCATCCTGGGAACAGGATTGGAGCGTTCTTCGCCCGCTGGCTAGGCTACCTCGACACGATGGGGTCTTTGTCTTGTCGCCAAGCCGGTCCTCCACTAATGATATACCACTCCATCTTAACGGCCTGCTCCGCGCCCGACGGTCATGACGAATTCGGTGTTGATTGCTTCACTGGGTTCACCCCCCGCACTGGAGTATTTCTGATCCGTCTTGCACGGCTGGTGCAGGAATGTGACAATCAACTCTTCGACGAAATGGGTACTTTCCGACATGACTGGCATGCATCTGCGGAAATGGTCCTGGAAGCGCAATCCGTACTTGGTGTTGTCGATGGGATTAGCGAACGTGCTCATACTAGCCCGGAACATCATCACGGTGTTGAGTCCTCGGATATGATAGCCATCGAGGAAGCCTTCCGGTTTGCCGGTCTCCTGCATCTCCACCGCCGTGTCCTTGGATCTCCGCGTGACTCGTTTCCCGTGAAGGAGGTTTTGCGCAAGCTGATTGATGCCCTTGGACGCATGCGCCCTGGTGCAGCCACTGAAGTCTGCTCCTTGTTCCCACTCTTCACGGCTGGTTGCGAATCTAGAGATCCAGTTCAAAGGTCTCAGCTTTTGGACCGGTTCTTTGTATTGGAGAGTTCGGGCATGAAACAGGTACGCTTCTATACTAGTCTGAAATCCGTTGGGGAGGTTTGCTGACACTGTATTCACTAGATTCAAAATGCACGTCAATTGATGCAACACTGCTGGGATGAAGACCTGCCTTGGGTGGCCCTGGCTAGCGGCCAGTTCCTGGGTTAGAGTCGCTTTCCGGTTTGAACAAGTGGATGGTCCTACGTTAATTCGCAGACGCCATGTGCTCATGTCTGGCAATGAGCTGGGCTGGGGTGAAGCATTATTTAGTATGAAGATGTGATAGATTAATAATACCCCTCGCCTTCTACAAGAGCGAGATACCTACCGTGCGATGTTTGCCGTTTGGCGGATTTATCCTACACCTTCCGGCCTTCCACTATATATAAACGTTACTATCTTCTTGTGACGGAACCAAATCATGAAAAGTTGCACGGAGCAATTAATTCTAACTTAACTTATATCCCAGGGAAATCGAATGGACTACTCCGTACAGCATTGTCCGATATATTCCAAGATTGAAATCCACGACTCCGCAGCGGGGTGATGGTGATCCCCCAGCTTCTCCACGCCAAGCCAGTTCAGCCGCGGCTTACAATGTAGGCTCTGGAATATAGCCGGAGATGGTCTATAAGAGTGACCACTTAAGATCACTATATCTACTTGAACAAGTCCGGTATACCACCCAATATCCACCATGATCTTCGATCCCAGCCCCATCGAGCTTCCATTTTCTTACGAAAACGTTGAAACAACCGGCCATGTTATTGTCTCTCACTACCCCCCAGGCACGCCGGCAGTGACCCCAGTTGTCGTCGTAACGCTGAATCGTCCTGCTAAACATAATGCGTTCACCCCGCAAATGGTCTTGGACTTCGAGAAGCTCTTCCCCATGTTCGATGTCGACGAGCGCGTGAGAGTTGTTATCTTGACAGGCGCTGGAAAGACATTCTGCGCTGGTGCCGACCTTGATATTGGTTTCGGTGGTGGTAAAGGCAGGACAGCAGACCATCGTGATGGGTAAGAGGACATCCACCAGACAGCCCTATACTCCTGCTAAAAAAAAGCCCGACACAGCGGTGGACGAGTCTCACTGGCAATCCATAGATGCCGCAAGCCCACAATTGCAGCAATGCAAGGCTCAGCCGTTGGAGTCGGGATGACCATGACTCTCCCAGCAATCATCCGGTAGATCAAGCACATCCCGAAAACAAACCCCAGAACCCTTTTGTTTAACATGCACCCCTTCTAGGATTGGCTATGAAAAAGGCAAATACGGCTTCGTCTTCGCCCGCCGAGGTATAACTCTAGAGTCATGCTCCTCTTACTTCCTCCCCCGTCTAGTCGGGTACTCCAACGCCAGCTACCTCGTCAGCACGGGGGCAGTCTTCCCCCCTACATCCAAGCACTTTGCCGACCTCTTCAATGAGATCCTTCCCGAGTCATCGCAGGTCCTGCCGCGCGCTCTCGAGCTAGCCACTGATATTGCCGAGAATGTGAGCCTGGCTTCGTCGTACCTCAATCGGGCGCTTATTTGGCGCGACTCTGGTTCGGTGGAGGCTGCTCATCTCGTCGAGTCGCGAGTCATCAACCATATGTTTGGATCTGAGTAAGTGAGATATATATGAAAAAGCTGGTTGCGGATACTTAATATCAGACAGAGACCAGAAGGAGGGTGTTGCGGCGTTCTTTGAGAAGCGAAAGCCGAACTTCAAGGCTAACCTTGATGATAACCCGCCGCCGAGTGTGCCGTGGTGGACAGAGGTTGATACTGGCCGTAAGCCTAAAGCCCAAAGGCCTTCGAAGCTTTAAATCCAAAGCTGTCATTGGAAAGGTAAATAATGACTGAGGATAGCGCTTTCGGGGTTCGTTTAATTCACACAAGACCTTCGAAGGATGAAAGTCTCAACAAATGTCACGAAAAATAGCTATAAATTGACCGTGTTATCAAAGGTCGTTCCTAATACATTGCAATTCCCCAGCTACCAAGACCGCTAATGATATTGTAACAAAATAAACACCAGCCCGGACAAAAAAGAAAGTCACCAGATGTGGTTTTGAACAGAAGCTCCAAGAGGTTCAACCATATATTGACACGAACAAAAAAGAAATGCTGCAATATCACAAGAGCGAAAAGAGAGAAAGAAAGAGTTTACGCAATGAAGTTGCGGCGCTTGCGGTTGTAAGCCCTCTGATCTTTCAGCCAGTTTCGGTAGCCCGCCACGCTGCCAATCTTCTCGCCGTAGTAATCGGGAACAGGGTTGGCGATGGAGTTGGTTGAGGGATCAACACGGAACCGGCGAATACGATCAAAGAACTCCTTCTCTTTCTGCGCAACGGAAACAAAACACATTAGCACAGACCAGACATAAGTCGCCACTCGTTTGCTTTGCAATTACTCACCGTGTTGACAGAGGGCTTGTACTTCCTGTACACAAGTCCCCAAATACCATTTCCGAGAGCCGGTCCAAGAAGCCAACCGACAGCACCGCAGGCGGCGGTCGCCAATCCCAGGACAACAAATGGGTCGAGGCCCATGACTGTGGCGCCGAGATGTTCAAGGTCCTGGCCAGACAGAACCTGCACACCGACAGTGGTACTGATAGCCGAGCTGGCAACTGAGGAGACGAGAGAGTATCGGCGGCGGGAAGCGCGGAGCTTGAAGAAGGTGTCCCAGTCGAGCTTGACTTCGTCGTTGGCAGGTGCTGAGGTTGAATTTGTGCGCACAGCAATGGTTGATGGCAACGCAGCCTTGGCTTGTGGCCGGGAGTCTAGGTTCAATGTTGCGGCGGCCGGGCGAGTTGTCGTGGAGCTAAGACGTGTGGGCTGTTTGGCCATCCGGGCAGTTGTCTGGGGAAGGGGACGGAGGGCGCTGGCGAGCGAGGGCGCAGCGGGGTTTAGTCGGCCAAAGAACATGGCTGTGCGGATGGACATGCTGATAGGATTGGCGTTCATTTTGGGAGGAATTGGAATTGATTTAATTGCAGGTTCCAAGTCTTGCAGAGGTGAAGTGGGAATTGGAGCCCTGGCCCTGGAGGTGGAGCCGGGTTATGTAAGCTTAATGGGCCCGCGGAAGGGCGACAACCGACATCATCACGATCTGATCTATCATCTGTTAAACTACTTGCAGTAGATGGAGATTATAATGGGCCAAGACTACAGGAGAGACATAGAGGACGAAGAGAAAGGATTGATTCTTCAAAACACAACGAGCTATTTATAGCCAGTTGAGGCCCGGTATGTCAAGTATTCTGCGAGGCCCAATATCCTGTTTGACAGAACGCAGAACTATGGCAGTCATTGGTTTGATGAAACCAAAATTGTCGAATCACGGCAGAGCAAATTGGCCTCCCACGCAAAGAGGTAAGACAATAGCTGATGTAGGGTATCGCAATCTGATTGAGATTCGAGTTTTTTGAGCCTCAAAGCACCACATGGAAGGAACACTATCGCAACGTCACTTGGCCCTGGTTCAAGTTGTATGTAGCATCATGTCAATTCACTAGTGAAGTGTAGTGAATAGGCAGCCAGACTATATTGACGAGGCGCATGATGGTTGTGGCTCAAGGCGCCCGAGAGGCAGGTCATTGGGCTATATTCTTTGAAGATGCCAGGTGTGTAAGGTAATATAGGCAGTGCGATATAAGGGTACTCTTGACCCGTGGACTGGCAAAGAGATGCCGACTATAATTGATGGTTATAGAGAGGAGTGGACAGGTGGAATTTCGCAATCCACCTAGAAGGATTAGCTTGGTTTATATACACCGGTTAACATAGGCCTAGTTCACGAGGCAGAAATGGTGAACAAATAAGAGAATGAGACCACTTTTGTCCCTGAATTTGGAAAAGGCCGGAAGTGTTGAACTATAAACAATACATGGACTGCTTTTACCAGGCTATAGTCTTTTAATGGCCAGAGCATTTGTCAGAATGGGCCATCTGCCAGCTTGGCTTCTACTGTTATATTCACTACTGGAATGGTGAAGGCTGGTCGTCCACTGGTTAAGCCGTGGCGAGCAGAATCAGAATTCCAATAATGGCCAGCTTTATTCCACCAAGTCAATATAATTCTATTTTCCTATTCGATTAAAGTTCTCCCCGGATCGACATAGTAAGAGGCTGAAAGGCGTTAAAGACCGAACAGACTCTGACCTCATTGGCTTAGCGCGGAAATACGTGCAGATATATATATGAGCTCATAGATAGAGCATATAGAACATAGAACCTTGGAATATAAAATACATAGACATCGGATATTGGATAGAGATAACTAGTTAACTAACAACATACCCCTATTATGTACGCAAAAAAAAAAAAAAAAAAGTCTGTCGTCATTTGGCGAATTGCGAAATTCTCCCCACCACAGCTTCCTTTTCCCCGTCTCGACTTGCCGCATTCGAACTTCCCCAATTCCCCAACTCACCAATTCTATTCCCCTATTCCGTCTACACCATGTCAAGAAACATTTCTTACGGCCGCGGAGGCGCAGGTAAGTGACACACCCCCTTCATCTCTCGCCACACAAGTCCACTTACTAACCACACTATGCCTATGCTCTAGGCAACATAACCCGGGAACAAAAAGCACCCGAACCCAAAGACTTCATCACACCAACAATCAAGCAAGAAGTCTACACGACAGGTCGCGGCGGCTCGGGAAACATGGTACACAACGATCCGGAGCGACCAGAGATTGCGCGCGAGAGCCAAGACGTTGAGTCACCGCCCCTGCGCGCTCAGCAGATCCCCCACCACACAGGCCGAGGTATGTTCTGCAGATGACAGTATATGGAGCGAATGCACATTTGCAAGGTCGTGACACAGGTACAGCTCCGCTAACGGGTGTGCTATTTCTTTCCATAGGTGGCGCGGCAAACGCTTACATCCCCACCGCTGAAGAGGAAGAGCGCGAGAAGAAGATCCAGGAGCAGGAGGCGGAGCTTATTCGCGTGCGCACGCAGTCCAAGGACCGTGTTAGGGAGATTGGACAGGAGAGGCAGGAGCTGCGGAAGGAGTCGCCTTCTTCTTAGGATGGTTACTGGGGGTGGACTTTGGTTCGCGGTTGATTCGTTCTCGTTAAGAGGGCTCGATGAAAGCTGATGGTATTGGCTGCGGAGGAGATTTGCCTTTCTTGGGCTGCAGTGCCGATCTGGCAAGAGGTGATTTGTCCGAGAAGAAACGAATCAGAACCACTGCGGGCAGTGCTGCTTCGATGCGAGGGTCTTTTTTTTTTGCCCCATCGACCTACCGGTTGGACTTATGGGTCTGTGGTATTTGCTTTTCTTTTCTTTTCTTTTCTTTGCGCGGTTTTTCCAATCGGCTTTCCCGGCTTCACATAATCGGGAATTGCTTCATCATACCTATCGTGGAATACCGGGAGAGGAACGGCGCTTGGGATACATTTGGGCGGGTTGTGTTTTCCCTCTTTGACATACGTTTCGATGTGTATTGCAACGATCCTCTGTGTTTCCCGGAATTGCTTCCTAAACACCGAGAAATGATAAACTCCCATGACAAGCGATCCTTGCCTCAATTGAAGAAACTATGCTATGTACATCAAATGTCTATGCTAATTATACGCTTCGTGTCTCATTAGATGCATCGCTCAGCCCAACCAAGCCTTTTGAAGAGGGCACCAAAGGATAAAATTGCAGACTCGCCATCAACAGCTAAGCGAGGACCTCACTCGCACTCGCGCGTCAATCCTCGGAAGGAAACACCCCGTCGCATCAATCGGCCAGTTAATAAGATCCTGCCAGTCCGGATCCAGAATGTCCCCAATCTCCTGCAGAATCCTATTCCCCCAATCGCCCATCCACCACGAACTCCTAAGATGATGCAGAATAACCGCATAATGCGCCAGAACAACAAGCGCAAATGGCCGGCGCGCCTCAAGTAGCTCCAGAAACTCCGCAGGGATACGGAAACTCCACCAAAAAGCAAAGACCTTCGGCTCGCCGCCCTTCATCAGCAGCTCGAGCGCGTGGCTGAGATGTTCAATGGCCGAGTCATACAGATCCGTCTCGTGCGTCACATCCCGCATAGCCTCCAAGTCATTCTGTCGCTGTAGCGAGAGTACCACTAGCCGCGACATGTCCGGCATTGTTGGGAGCGGGTCTTCGGGGTGGAAGAGCGGGTCCAGCTCGCTCGCCGTGATGCGTTCCATCGAGGCCACTAGGATGCTGACTAGCCACCGGGTCAGCTGGAATACCTCGAAGAACTCATCCAGCACGTCGGGCTGGTCTTCGTCCGAGTCGGTTTCGCTGTCGATCTGGCAGAAGCCGAAGGTGAATACAATCATTATGCAACACAATGCGAAGGTCGCTTGGATTTCTTCTTCCGGGGCATCTTCGGCACTCTCGATGCCGAGGCCTGCTAGCGCCTGTGCTTGGTACGAGCGTGCTGTTTCAAGGTATCGCCAGCGCCGGGAAGATGTACTGGTTGAGGCGAGGTGCAGCGCCGAGAGGGCTAGGATACCTTGGCGAAGGGCTGTGTAGCGGAGGGAAAGCTGGGGGATGGTTGTTTGCCATATTCGTTCGGAGGTAGGGTTCCCAGCCATGGATTTGTAGGTTGTTGTGCACCAGTGCATCATCAATTCGAGGTCTTTTAGGTGAAGGGTTTCTTCGGTGTGGGTTGAGAGACATGGTGGGTGCTCTTGTGGCTGGGAATTTGACTGTGAGGTTGAGGAAGTCGGAGATGATGGCGAAGTGCTAGTTGAGGGGATGAAAGAACCATGCTTGTTGTCTAGCCGAGTCAATCGGGGCCGAGGCGGATATTGACTGAGCATCTTGCGGTCCAGACAGTGCACACAGGTTGAGCTCTGCTCCTTGTACTGTGAGAGTTGGGTTAGCGGGGAGGTGCGAGAGATATAGGAAACAAAGAAGGAGAAACTGGACCCTCCAGTCTCATTATCAATTGAAAGCTCTGAGAAAGGCCCAGAAGCCCTAAGCAGGGGTGTCATACTTTAACGCGCCGGTCACTTTGCATACTCGTCTGGCGTCGCTTATTTGACCAGGAGGATTTCGATTCGCATAATTGCATTGTAAAGGTGCCAGGCTCGAGACCTCGAATGATTATTCGATTCGGGGGTTGCTGTGTATTTGACTCATAATTCAACCTCCAGGTATCCCCCGAAGGAGGAGGAAGAAGGATTTTCTGAGATCATGAAAAAGTCATATCAGTCATAGGCCCAAGCGGTGGGTGTCGATATTTTGATATGTCCATTTTCAGTGCCAAGTCGGCATTCCAAGCACCAAAGAGGTAAAAGTGGCGTTGTTTCCTAAATCGGTAAATGCAGGATGGCTCGTGCTTCAAATGACATAATCATACCCGGCGGGGGCCGTACTCCGTCACTCCGATGGATTTGGTATGTTTAGGAGTACGGACTACTACAGAGTACATATTGCTTAATAAATAATTGAGCACATAGCAGCTAACTAACTAACTAAATAGTCAGCTCTTGTATCCAACATTGGAACCTTAGGTCCGATCCCTATTGCCAACTCAAAACTAACTTCCGATCTTCTCGTATTCCATGTTCCAAACCGGGTGTGAAAATTACTAATGCGCGATATACCCGAGACTCTATCCTAGAAGAGCATACGCAAGCTAGATCCAGCTAGATCCAGCTAGATGCACTAGTAGCAGCATTTTAATATACAACATAGAAAAATAAACGAAAGACCTCGGACAAACCCCACCAAGCCCCACCAGCCCCTAGAAAGAGTCCACGCTAGACCCTCTTCCGGACTAGCACTATGGGGCCGGCCAAGTCTATCCGAAATAAGTTTCAGTTGACAAGCGATGCTTTTCCCCGATCGGGGAAAGCGCATGCGCTTGAACCCCTGTCCCATGCACTTTATGCATGGACACAATCTCGGGTACGTATCTTTCTAGCTCGTGATCTCTCCATGCCCTAAGCTCCTTTCCGATTAGCACCGTTTCGCCGTGGCTCCTTGGACGGTTGTTTTCTTCTTTGGGAACGCTGTCCAGGATTGGTTGTCGCAAATCATTTCCATAGTCGGACAATTCCTGAATGGAGGCATTGCAAGGGTTAGATTGTATTCGTCGATCGGATTTGCTTTGCTTTTACTGATTTCAGTCAATGGAGCCCGTTAAGGTGATGACTGCGCCACTTCCTAGGCTCCGAGATGCTAACTCGCACGCAATCTGGCCCAGGGCCCGGGCTGATTTGCGATCCGCTTAGCCGCGAAGCATTTTCTTTGTTTGGGCTTGGGGAGTAGCGTTGTTGAGTAAATGGCGTGATGATCATGATTCATGCTGTTGACTGAACTCGGAGATGCGCATGACTAGCGTAGACCGACTTTTGGGATTTGACTTCGGCGTCCGGACTCGGGTTTAATGATTAGCCCGCATTTCGCGCTGATAACTTCAGTCCGCCAATAAGCGCATTCTGACTGTCCGGGTGGCGTCGATCTTAGGGTGCTGAGTGCCAGTTCATCGGTATTCTAGATCTGGCCGAGGACACTACGGATGTGATGCCACGTCGAATGTCATCTGGCATTGGCCCTTTTTGGTAACTGCGCGAGGTCCGCACGGGTAGAAGCAATGGTAGCTGCATTAGCCGGATAGCCGGTGACTCCGACGGACGATTCGATATCTCCGTTTCAGAAATCGATTGTCTGATCGCTTTGGCTCACTGCGATGTGCAAAACAGAAGCGGAGCTGCGCGGAGTGATATGATCGCCAAATCCTGCACATAATCCCCATCCCTGGCGCTAACACCTTTGGGGAAATTCCCGGCGATTACCACTTGGTTGCCTGCCAAGATGGGGGGTGTGATCCCTGCTTCCTTGTTTTTGCGTTGATATCGAAACCCAGGCCTCGCTTTCCGACCTGAGACTTGAGAGATATTGGTCCTGATGATACCAGCAGTGCCACTTGATGTGTTTGGTGTGAGGACAAAAGGCGTAATTCATAGGGTTCGTGCATCCTTCCGCTCAAGTTTGTATGAAGTGCCATTGGTCTGCATACCGAAGTTGGGCTGGAGACTGAGAGATTGAAGTTCGGTGGTGGTCTGGCCAGCAGACACATTTTCGATATCCTTGGGTTTATTCGCAGTGGCTTTTTCGACGGGGCGTATATGTGTACCAGTTTTAGGTGTATACGTGCCAGGTCTCTACCGCTGAGAATGGTAATCCGGAGGGCGTATTTCTGATACACTGCACACCATCAGCACTGAGATTGCTGTTGGTACCACCTGAAACCCTGAGTCGAGGAAGTGCAAAATCATCTGGGGGCAGACAGGTGTAATAGTATCGTAAGCGGAAACAAACTAACAGGTTAGCAGCATTTCTCAAATCATCCGAAGGGTAGGTACAGTATGAAATTTGGGATTTGTGGCTGATATCTTACTATAGATCGCAACGTCGGGGCGACCAATATGGAAACACTGCACTCGACCAATATAGCTCAGCCGATCGTCGAGGCCGTAGTTCCAGGCTGTTTGTTAGAGGAGGAATCAGAGGAGAGATAAAGGGCAGTGTTGTCCGGTCAGTTCGTGCCGTAATAGTTGCCATACGATTGGCCGTGTAACACAACTTGGCTGACACCTCCCGCGACGGCACGATCGACTGACAAAGATGCCTCGGGGGAAAGTCGTGTGACTTCACTTCAATATCACGACGTCTATTTTAGGAAATAACCCCATCTTCATGCGAGATTTACTGGCCCGGGGAATTGGCGATGTCTTCGGAGCGCTTCGATCGGGGAGCGAGGGCATCGACACCGACGATATGATCACATATAAGACTAAAGACTGCTGCCAATGCCAATGAGAATAGTAATATAAAATCCCTACTAAGGCCAAGAATTAGCCCGGCGAAAGCCAAACGTAGGCCTACTACGGAAAGAGCACAACTACAACATCTGCTCCTATCCAAAGTCCCCATCGAGCGGCACGCCCGCTTACTTGCGAACGGTTGAGGCCAGCCGTGCGCTATAGCTTAGTCTAGGATGATTATGTTGCCGCTCTTCTAGAGGCAGTTCTTTGCCGAGCGAAGGATGACCT